AGCTCTATCCACTATGCCAACCTAGCTGCCCCAAAACATTTTATTTTCCTAATGTTAGACATGGTGTTTGCCCTTGGATTCTTTTCCAAGGGATGTAAAGTTTTCTAAGGATTTAAGGTCTTTTGATCCTGGACCTTTTCATGCAAAACAACAATTAAGTTTTACTCTTAAAAAAATCAGAAGTTGATTTCTTTTTTTCCTGTGGTCATTATACATTGGGTTAGCCAACCTTTCTACAGTTTGTGAATTCTGCTGGCATTTTATTGATGGAGTGTATATGTGTGTGTATATATATGAATAAATATATGTGTGTTTATACACATACACACACATATTTGGTGTATGCGAGTTTGTGAGCAGCTACGTGGTACAGTGGATAGAGTGCTGGGCTTGGAGTCAGGAAGACCTGATTTCAGATCTGGCCTCAAACACTTACTAGTTGTGTGACCTTGGGCAAGTCACTTAACCCTGTTTGCTTCAGTTTCCTCATCTGTAAAATGAGCTGGAAAAGGAAATGGCAAACCACTCCAGTATCTTTGCCAAGAAAATCCCAAATAGGTTCATGAAGAGTCAGACATGACTGAAAAACGACTACACAACAACAAAAATTCAAGTTTGTATGTGGAGGATGAAGTTTGTATATGCTCAGTGACACATATTATGGAGTTTTCTAGAGAAGAGAAATTAAGCCAAAGGGATTCTGGAAATATCTACAGTTTTCATAGGATGAATTATATATTTTTTTCAAGTAACTTCACTTCTCCAAGCTGTTCTTAAGGAAACTGTAAAAAAAAAAAAATGAAGGTTATTGAGGATTTCAATATCTGTCATCTTATCAGTTCCCTCTCCAATCTAGCCTATATTTTTAAAATACACTTTTATTTATTTATTCTGTTTTTTACTTCTCCAGAATTTTTCCCAATATCCTTCTCCCTTCCCAGAGAGCTGTCCCATATAACAAATAATATATTTAAGGTACAGAAGGAAAAAGGAAGAGAAATCAACAAAACTAATCAATACATTGAAAAAAACCTGAAAATATATGCCAGGTACCACAGCCATGGACTCTGCAAAGGAATGGGTTAGGGTTGTAGTCTCATATCTCTTTTTGGGGGCCATGCTTGTTCTTTATAATTTTGTGTCATTCACTTCTGTGGTTGTCTTTTCCATTTACCATATTGTAGTCATTTACATGGTTTTCTTGCCTTTACTTACTTTTCCTATGGATCAGTTCATGTAAATCTTTCCATGCTTCTCTGTATTCATCATTTCTAAAGCACAATAATAATTCATGTACCATAGTTTGTCAGGTCAACATACATTTATTATAGTGCTAGTTTTTAGCCATTATCCAATCCTTGGATATCGTACTTTGTTTCTAATTCTTTGCTACCACAAAAAATACTGCTATAAATACTTTTATATATATAGGGACTTTGTTCTTTTTCAATAAATTCCTTGGGGTATAAGCCTGATAGTGGAATCTCTGAATCAAAGGATATGGACATTTTAAGTCACTTTAATTTGCATAATTCCACATTTCTTTCCAAAATAGATGTGCTGATTCATAGTTCCACCAGCAATTCACCATCTTCTAATAAGCCCTTCAGTATTGATTTCCCATCATTTTTTGTCATCTTTGCCTATTTGCTAGATATGAAGTGATGTATTTCTCTTAGTATTAGCAATTTGGAGCATCTTTTCCTGTGGTTATTAATAATTTGCAGTCCTTTTGAGAACTATTTCTTCATATGCTTTCATTACTTGTCTATTGAAATGGCTTTTTGTTTTTATTATTTATTTGTGTGTGTACATGTATATGTACCTATATCTGTGTATATACACGTACAGGTGTGTGAGTGTGTTAGTTTTCTATATGTCTTGGATACCAAACACTTATCTGAAAGATTTGACAGATTTTTGTTCCCATTCTTTTGCTTTCCTTTTTATCCTTGGTTGATTAATTTTGTTTGTATAAAAGTTTTTCGGTTTCATGTAATCAGAATTATTTATCTTATCTTTTGCATTTGTTTTTAATCCTTGTTTGGTTAAGAATATGTCTCCTACCCTTAGCTATTGCTTTTCAATTTTCCCAGTAATTTTATCAAATAGGGAATTCTTTCCTTAGCAGCTTATGGTTCCTGCTTTGTTGAACACTGAGTTATTAATTTCTGTTGTTTCTGATTTTTCCTTTCCTAGACTTTCCATCAACCTATTTCCTATTTTTTTACCCTATATCAAATGATTTTGATAATAGCTGCTCTATAATATAGTTTAAGATGTGGAAGTTTAGCACAACTTTAGCCCAGATCCATAGTATCATTGAAATAATCAATCAACAATCTTTTATTTATTATTTACTATATGCCAGTCTCTGTGGGTACAAAGAAAATACAAATAGTCCCTAACCTCAGGGAGCTTACATTCTAATGGGAAAGAAAACATCTATAAATCAGAACATAAAAGATAAATACAAAATGTATGGAAGGTTACCTTAGAAAGGAGGGCCCTGGAAGCTGGGGGGCCTGCTAAAGGCCTCCTGGAAGAGATGGCTCTTGAGCTGAGTCTTAAAGAAAGCCAAAGATTCTAAGACTCAGAGGTTGAGAGAAAGAGCATTCTAGGCATGAGGAATGGCTAATGCAGAGGCACAGTGGTATGAATTTCTGTGCAAGGAACCCAAGCAGGCCAGTATGGCTGGATTATAGCGTTCGTGGAGACAAGTAGAATATTCGAAGATTGGAAACATAGAAGGGTTCAGGTTTTGAAGAGCCTTAAATGCCGAACAAAAGATTTTATATTTCTTCCTGGAGGTACAAGGAAGCCACTGGAGTTTGTTGATTAGCGGGGTGGACTGTTCTGACTTGCGCTTTAGGAAAAACACTGGCAGCTGTGTGGACGATTGGACTCGAGGAAGACTTGAGTCAGGGAGACCAGTTAGAAGACGTGAATAATTTGGGTGAGGAGGGCCTGAATTAGGATGGGGGCTGTGTAAGTGGTGGGAAAGGGGCATATGTAAGAGATGCCATAGAGGAATCAGTTAAGAGATTTGGTATCCTATTGGATATGTGGTACCAGCAAAAGGATAAGAACCCGGGGTGAAACCTGTGTGAACCTGCATGACTGCAGTGATCAGCAGTGCCTTAAAAATAAGAAGGAAATTTGGAAGAGGGTAGGAAAGATACCGAGTTCAGTTTGGGGCATGTTTAGTTTGAGAAACCTACAGGACATCCACTTCGAGGTGTCTAACAGACAACTGGAGATGAAAGACTCAGGGGCAGCTTGGTGGAACAGTGGATAGAGCTCTTGCCTTGGAGTCAGATCCAGCTTGACGCTTACTAGCTGTGTGACTCTGGGCAAGTCACTTAACCCCATTGCCTCATCAAAAAAAAAAAAAAAAGGCAAAGGAAAGAAGGAAAGACTGAACCTCAGAAGAGAATAAATAGATCTGGGGATTATCTGCAGAGGGATAATAATTAAACCCATGAGGTCACCAACTGAGAAAGTACAAAGAGAGAAGAGAGGAGGGGTCAAAAGAGCCTTAGGGGACACCCACTGTTAGAAAAAGAGTTACAAAAACCCAGAGAGGAGATAGTATCCTGGAAAAGAAGGTGGTCAATAGTGTCAAATTCTGCAGAGAAGGAGTGAGGGTGGAAGGGTATAAGCATTTAAAATGCCTACCATGTGCCAGGCACTGTGCTAAGCACTTTTTTACAAATATTATCTCATTTGATCCTCATAACAACCCTGGAAAGTAGGTGCTATTATTACCTCCATTTTACAGTTAAGGAAACTGAGGCAAACAGAGGTTAAGTAATTTGCCCGGGATCATCCAGCTAGTAAGTGTCTGAGGCCATATTTGAACTTAGTTACCCTTGACTCCAGGCCCAGCGCACTATCCACCTGCTGCCAGAGAGATCAATAAAGATCTCCTAATTAAGAATTAATCACTGGTAACTTGGTGGAACGCAGTTTCAGTTGAATGATAAAGTCAAGAAGCCAGATTTCAAGAGATTTAGAAGAGAATGACAGGAGAAAGTGGGGGCTTGTATTATAAACTTTTTCAAGTTTAGCTGAGACTAGGAGGAGAGATGTTGTTGAATGATAGTTGGTGAACATGGCAGGCTCCATTGAGGGTTGTTTAGGGATAGGAATAAATAGCAGGAGAGGAGCCTGAAGATTGGAGAGAAAGTAGGGATGATGGGGGAGCAATCTACTGGAGACGGTGGGAGAGGATGGGATTTGCCTGGGCAAGCACTTTCCTCCCTTTTACACACCCCCACATTAGTACACCAACATATACATGATAAAGCATGGCTGTGTGAGATCTCTGAGTAATGAATCAAGTCCCTGCCAAGTTCTTGTACTACTTGTGCTTCAGGGACCTTCTCTGTAAGGTCCTGAAGAGATTCAGGTTTTCAGTGGGCTACCAGACCAGATGGGCGCTCAGCCAAAACAGCTAAAGTGGTTTGTAATTGCTTCTGAGTTTGGCGATGAACGTTTGCCAGGAGAAGCAACAAGCTACCGTGTGTGTGTGTGTGCGTGTGCGTGTGCATGTGCGTATGTTTAGAACATGAGTTATTATATTTCTTTGCCTTGTCTTATATGTGGGGAGAGGGGAACAGAGAGAGGGAATATTTGAGAGGTTTTCTCAGTTACTTCTCAAATGCCTTCCTCAAGACCCACCTACCCACCCCACCATACTCCCCAGAAAAGTTGGTGGCTATCACCACCAAAGCCTCAGACTTCTAGAATGGGATGTCCCTTTGGCCTTGTATTCATATGGACTTTGCCAGTTACTCTCTTCCCTTTCACCACATGTTGTGAACATGGCCTTGAGTGTCTGAAATGTGCTACCCAGTGAGCTTCTACTCCTGTTCTCAATCTTCTAATACCTTCCGTGGTTCACTTCTGTTCTCGGTTCCTTGGAATCACCTTATTCCTCAGTATTAGAAGTGCATACCAGTATGTAATGTTGCATTTATCGTTTGTTTTAAATTCAGTGCCTGACCTTCCTTCCATTCGCCACGCAGCAGTACAGGCCTGGCTGGAGACGGTCTCTGGAGGTAGTCTGGTGATGTTTCTTCTATACCAATTCACAATAACCGCTCCTAAAGCTCAGCAATTCAGCTGGTATCTTAACAGAATTATGGCCCTGTTGCTCCTGCATGCTCAGGATAGGGTGGGATGGAGGGAGGGAGGGAGGGAGTGTGCATTGCATGCCTTGCTCAGACGGTCATTCTTGCATGAACCAGATATTCATCTTAACCCTTGTAGGACAGAGCCAAAGAAAAGTGATGTTTTAAGTAGGATACAGGTCAAACAGTCGGGTATGGGGATTTGAGTAAGTGCCAGGACAGTGAAGAAATATATTTTTAGCATTGGGGTTTCAACTAAAGTCTGTAGAATGATTAAGGTATAAGAGCAAAGGAATTTGGAAGAATTCCACAAAACCACTGAGGACTCCCAGAAGAGGAAACAGGAAGAAACATTCAAAATTTTTTATGGAGTGAAATGATAGCACAAGATTGAAAAAGAGAAAAAAAAAGATTGAAAAAGAGCAGGAATGGTGTATATTGTTTAACTGAAGTTAAACAGAAGAAGTGAGCCACCTAATAACAGCTATAACTAGAAATATCAGCTTGTTTTACAAACTACAAGCTGTTGTTTTATTTCAGTGTGAGGTTGATGAGGTCAACTGTCCACATCCTAGATTAAGGGCTCTTATGGGATAAGGAATTTCTATTTCCTACCACCTTCATGACCTACCCTCTCCCATCTTTCTTACTGGCAGTAGAGGAAAAAAGTTGGGAGTCCAGGCTGTTCAGAGCATTAAATCAAAAGAAGAATTTTCATGTGCTGTCTAGTTAATATAAAGAACATTGCTGCTATGCATATAAGCCACTAGCCACTTGCATCTCTAGATGATTTGACAAGGCTGAAGTCTCACGATACATGACTAAAGATCAGGGATTTCTGGCTTTCACTATATACAGCTCATTGATTGGTGTGGCAGCTTCTGGCACCTTGCTCTCCATCCTAACTCCAGTTCAGCCCTCCACTCCCTTTGCCCAAGCTGTATCCTTCAACATTAGCTGCTGTTGCAATGTTATCTACCATTTGCTTATTCATCTTTGACATATGTGACTGAATTGTTTCTTTGAAGGTATCCTCAGGAGATTTTACAGTCTTCTTCTTCCTAACACTGTAAGAGAAACTTCCATATTATAAATTTCAAATAGGAAAATTTGATCAAGGACCAGGAGACCAGCCCAGTCGTCCGGTAAACTAGATTTTGCCTGATTGGGAAAGCTTATCTAATGATCTCCTGTGCTCCCCAGGCTATTTTTCAACAGCAATGGTGGTATTATTTTCCTAGTTCATAAGCATTTACATCAACTTTCTCAAATAAGTCTTTAGAGCATTGGGCTCGTGGCCAACACTGTTGACTTAGCTTCTTGATGTAAGAGGGCCAAGTTCTATCTCTTACCTGGTCTTTTACTTCTCCAGTCTGGTAAGAGATGAGCAGGGACCATTGGCCACATACTTTGAAAATCAGTTGGGCTTCTATGACTCCGTCACATTCCTCAATGTGGCTTTGGTGGCTTTTAGGGAACCATGGATTCTCCTGTCCAGTGAAACAGCTAGAATGATTGAAAAAGAAGGCACATCCTAAGATTCTCTATAGAGACAAAACAATGAAATGGCAAAATCTATATGAACATAAATCCTATGTCAAAAGAAAGTGCCTAAGAAATTCCCTCTACCCCAAATTTGTCATTTTTACGAGGCATGCCTGCCCACCTGTAATTATGACTTTTAAGTCCTACTTCCTGGCTTTTAAAAGAATTAACCTTCCTGAAAAAGCTAAATGTCAGTAAAATCAGTGAGATGTTTCCTTGCCTGTCTGAAGTATCCCAAAAATAAATACCCCATCAGTTGTTACTTCTGCCTTTTGTGGGGAACCAACTGTGAGAATGGCACTTGAAATGGGATGGAAAGTAGAACGAAGGAAAGAAGAAGGTTTGGGGCCGTGTTGTTTTGTCTGACAGTTGTTTTTGTTTTGTTTTGTTTTGTTTTACAATTCTTAGGCTGGAGAGAGCAGGGAAAATTGAAAAATAAGTAATTTTAGCATTATCAACACCTTCAAATATACCTGGTTTTTGAAAGAGAGGCATATACAGTCAATCAGACATTTATTAAATGCTTCCTATGTGCTAGGCTCTGGGGAAACAAAGATAAACATGAAACAACCCCTACCCTCCAGGAGCTTACATTCTAATGGGGAGGACAACATGCACCTATACAAGTATACAAGGAAGAGATACACATTAACCTTGGTGAGGGGTGGGGAGAAGGCATTTAAAGTCTCATGCAAAAAGGGACAATTTAATTGAGTCTTGAAGGGAACCAAGGATTCCACAGTATGATGATGAGGATGGGAGTACATTCCAGGGATGGGGGACAGACAGCCAGTGCAAAGGCAGAACTGGGAGATAGAGTGTCATGTTTGAGAAAGTGCAGAAGGCCAATTTGGCTGACCATAGAGTGTCCAGAGAAGAATAGTATGTAATAAGGTTTTTGAATGTTGTGAAGTTTTAAATGTCAAAAAGGAGAATTTGTAGAGGTGATGGGAAGCCATAGGAGTTTACTGAGTAGGGGGATGACATAGTCAGAAGTTTGAAGAATAGATTTAAAGTCAGCCCAAGTAGACCCAAAAGTATCTTTAAACTGAAAAACTACCATTTCTACATAAAATATGTCTGTCTCACATGCTCAACTCCCTTTCTTCTTTTATGTTCCTAAAAGTAATTTTGAATTGCACTTTGCATAATTGAGAGGAGGTGCAAAGATGGACATTTTATGGCAGAGTTTCTGCTCCACTCATATCAAGTTCCCACAGGGAACTTGTAGATACAAATACATTAGACAGTGGTGTGTGGAGAGATGCCGTCTCATTTGACCTTGACTTTCAGAAACCAGGTTGTGTTCTTGTCTCGATTTCCTGCAGGACCCCCAGGAATTATAATCCAATGAGTGTTTCCTAATCCGTGTGTTACTCTGTCATGGACTTTGATCTACAAACTATGTTTAATTAATGACAAGTCAGAAAATAAGCCCCATTCTGGAAATGAAAAATGGCTTTGAATTCTTTGACTGATGCAACCTGTGAAACAAAGACAGGGAAAAGTGACCATCATTCTTGTTCAGTCCCTTTCCACTTCTGCTGGAGTGGTGGGGAAAAAAGGCAGAAGGTGTTCATCAGTTTTTTAGATAGTCTGTAAACATTAATTGGACTCTAAATAAGAGATCTTTGTCCAGTGATCACTGAATCATCACATTAGAAGAACTGAACCACATCAATATTGACATTTGTGAAATCAATTAAACCAGAAGACAAAATGTATTTGCAGCTTAAAGAAAAGAATGAATGGCTCACAATTTCTCCTTTGGCAAACAGGATTTTATTTCATTATGCCCCCAAAGGCTATAAGAAAGATCCTTTCATTAGACCTTCATCGTCTCATTTTGCAGTGTTTGTGCTGCAAAGGATGAAGGGCAGGGCAAATTATAAGAACTTGAATAAAGTTTTCTAAACCACTTCAACACATGGTTTCAATACAATTTAACAAACAATTATTAATTACCTACTTTGCATGAAACAAGGAGCTCACGTTCTGCCAGAAACACGTGACATGTACACAGAAAGGTATATGACAAAGAAAATTGGGAGAGAAAGCACTAACCACGGTGGTGGGATGGTTGGAGTGAGGCAGCTGGGCGAGGGCAGAGTTCTAAGAAGGTATCACAAAGGAGGCAACCCATGAAATTGAGGCTTGAAGGGAAAAAATGAAAAATTAGAAATGAGGAAATGTGTGGTAGGCATAGGAGACCACTTATGTGAAGAAACAGAGGCAAGAAATGAAGTTGTCCAGGTGGCTTGAATGTTAAGTTTGTAAAGGGGAGGGGGGTAGTATGAGATTGGAATAGAAAGTGGGAGCCAGCTTGTAAAAGAAACTTAAATATCAAGAGTTTACATTTTATCCTAATTATAGGCAAAGGAAGAACAACTGAAGGGTTGTTTTTCTTTTTTTGTGTGTGCAGGAGAATGATATGTATCTTGGGGAAATTATTTTGATCCCTGTGTGGAGGATGGATTGGAAAGGGGAGAGACTGAAGATAAAAAAGCCCAGTTAGCAGACTCTTATGGTCGTCTGGAGGAAAGGTATTGAGGGCTCGAATTAGGATGATAGCTCTGTCAGTGGAGAGAACGGTGCATAAGAATGCTAGGGATTCTTTGATATTTGGTCACTTCATTAAGAAGTTAGGCACAAGCAGGAATGTCAAAAAGTACGTAGGAGAATATAGGTTAAGAAATGAAAGAAGCTAAAAGTCTGGAGACTTAGAAACCTCACACCTATATTTCATGAATAACTTCAAGAAGAGAGAAGATGCTAGACATGGCAAATACCAGACATTGTCACCAAAATATATATATATAATTTTCTGTCTTACCAGAAAATTCCTAGCTGGTATTGTGGAAGTTATTTCAGAAATATTCAAGTGTCCATGTGTAGTCAGACCATCAACTAGTTAGAGGAAAGTTAAAAATCAACATCAGGTTAATAAAAAGGATAATATGACAATTACAACCTAGTTACACATGATATCACTAACCAAAACAAAAAAAATAGGCTATGGAAAAAAGGCAAAGATCTGTTTTCATCACCCCAAGACAGTGGGACTGTCACATTTGGATTTTAGTTCCCCTGTGAGGAAGGAGAAGCGACGCTGAGGTCCAATCCTATCAAACCAAAGTATACAGTGACATCCTCTGTGCTGGAGGCAACCCGGTCTCAAGAGGGCCCATTTTACAGGATCTCTTATGGGAAGGATGATGGCAGAAGGATGAGAAAAAATAACAAATGCTTTTGCTACCTTCCCAACATTATTGAGCACACCAATAATTCCCATCCTATATACCTGCCTTCTAATCTTTATAAGTCTTTTTTTGTTTGTTTTCTTAATGCCTTTTACTTCTTAACACCACAGTTATTCCCCAACA